TACATAAATGTCATAGGACACTGCACAGACCTGATAGTTTATAGGGTAATATGAGTACATATTAATTACCTAATTTGCATAATTAATTAATTTTCAGCTTTTGATATATCGAGTAGTAATCATCATATTTCAATGAGACTTGTTACATAGATCTTCCAGGATTATGCAGACACCTGATTAGTTTTAATTGGATATTAATTACCTAATTTGCATAATGTTCCACTGATATATAAAGAACCACAAATTGGATTTTAATAAAACTTTTAAAGAGAACTATGCAGAAACCCAATTAGTTTTTGGTAAATATTTTATGCTTATTAATCACCTAATTAACATAATTAATTAACACTGATATCTCAATTACTGATCATCACATTTGAATAAAATTTGGTACATAAATGCTCTAGGACAATAGACAGGCCTGATTAATTTTGATTAATATTAATTCTCTAATTAGCATAATAATTCATAATTTTTTTGTTCTGTTCATATTAGTTACCTGATTTACATAATTAGTTTTCAGCTTTTCCATCAATATCTCATGTACAATTAATTTTTAATGTGTCTTCAATACTTTCAGCACACGGGAGTTCTTTCTAAGCTTTCTTTGATCTTTCTTTTATCTCAATGCATGTGAATGACATTTTTTATTACAATACAGAGTGTTAGATTAGTTTATACAAAGACAATAGAAAAAACTTTCTAATGTTTTTGGTTTATAAGCTTGCTTAGAGCTTGCTTTCAAATCCATCATAAATCTGCAGAGTTAATCTCTTTTAAAATCTCTGTATCAATGCACAAGAGACAAACTTTTTTTACATTTAGATGTACAATGTATGTGTCTGATTCACTGGATTTTAATTAAATTTAGTTTAAAATTAAATCAATTTGATCATGTAAAATAACAATAGAGCTCATTGTTTGTTTCACAGCCACTAAATCATGCAGCAATGTTTAAATAAAGTTTTGATCAGAACAAAATGGTAACAGTGTTCATGGCTGTTATGGAAAATGCAACGGATCATAATTTATTGACATTGGTATACCATCTCTTTTCTTTTATACTGGCAAGGCTGTCTCTTCAGATTAATCACATTGCATTTTGACAAACATCAACAGTCTCGTCTTTATGACACCCATATCTGGCGCATGTTTGACATGACGACCACACCCTTTAATATTGCTTTGTTTGCTTTAATCTACATGTAAGTGAGCATAAATATAACATTTGCTACTTATTAAAAACACATCTAAACCAAAATTCATGAATATTTATTTTGACCATAGAAACACCTCTATAATTCATGTGAGTATATTCACAATACTAATTGAGTAAAACATCATAGTAAACACTTTAAATAACATATTTTTTAAAAATGTTTTATAATGCTAAATATGGTATTATGCCATAGTGCATTGCCTACTGAAAGCCTCCATCCATAACACAAATGTATGGGAAGAAACGACATTGGCATGGGATGTGTTAACAGCTTAACAAATCTGTTGAATTTCAAATCTCCTTAATTTTTTCAGGCATTCTTAGCAATGGTGAAAAGAGAACAAGAGTTGGCGGAAATAGAACGAGAAAAAGAAGAGGAAGAAAGGAGACGTAAACGAGAAGCAGCAAAGAGAAGAAAAAGGATGCTGGAAGCAGCATTTGATGGAGATAATGATGAAATTTTGCAAGTACTGAAAGAGGTTTGTACAGTATAACCATTTTTTTTCTTTTTTACATTCATGTATTTATCATGTGATGTCATTTAGGGTTGCTTTTTTTAAAAAAAAAAATAGATTTTCACAAAACTCATTCTTTTTTCATGCGCTTTCATATCTTGCATCAGTGACACTATGCAATGCGTAATTTTAGAAGAATTCAGAAAAAAAGTTGACAATTTAAGTTTTGTTGGACATTAATGTATTTATACAGCCATTTAACTACTAACTACTTGTTAAACAAACTCTTAGCTTGACTAAGAAAAGCCAATCTATTTTGTCGCATATGCCAAATGCGATGGAATGAATTCCAACATTTGTAAAATAGAATAGAATATTTTATTTGACACAAAATGAAATATGCACAATATAACGTCTAAGGTCAATTACATAAACAGCATTAAAAAGGTACATTATACAATACACTGACAGATATAAAGGTGAACTTTTAACCTTTTCACCCTCAGACTTTCTCACCCAAATTCTTCCGCACTTTTTTGCCCAAATTCTTCAATATTTCATGAAATAAACCTTGATTTTGGAGCCAGCAGAGAAAATTTTAGTAAATTTTTAAAAATTAAAATTAACTATAAATAGGACTATTTTGTGAATTTGTGATAACAAAATTAGTGATGAAAAGGTTTTATATACATGTATAGAATTAATATGGTATCTGCATGTGCATGTATTTGCTTCTAGGTAGATCAGGAGGACACCAAGATGGGGATAAAGAACGACGATATCGGCAGAACAATACGTGCCAAACACCAACTTGAAATGGTGGACTGTACCGATGCTAATAACAACACCCCGCTATCGGAGGCCGGTGGTGGTGGCCATGCTGATACCATAAAATTGCTCCTTGAAAAAGGTGCTGATCCAAATAGTCGTGGACAGTTTGAAAGAACTCCACTGTATAGAGCGGCTTTCAGTGGACATTTAGAGGCGGCAGAAACTTTGTTACAATATGGTGCTGATCCAAGGATTTATGCTAATGATGGATGTACACCTGAACAGGTATTTAAAGGGGGGGCGCAAGGCTTATTTTCGATCAATGTAATTGCAATATTTTTTTGTTCGTACAACGTAAATAGAAAAAATAAATTCCGTAATTCTGTAATCACAGGCTAGACGTACAACGTAATCAATCAAATATTTTGTTCGTACACTGTAAAAATGTGTAATCTTTCTAGTACGTACAAAAATTCACATCCAAATAAAAAAATCGTAAAGAATAATCCAGGGAAACTACATTTTTGAAACTGTAAAACGACTAGATGACACAATTCACTACAAAATTGAATGTCAAGACGTAAAAGGCCCTCTAACCGAATGAAGAGCATTACGAAGGTAATATGCGCATGCGTCTCCTTTCACACGGCGCAGCAATGGTGGGGAATTTGAGTCGGAGAGCTCTTCGGACCATTCAATGTTCCATTTGTTAACACTGTAAACTGTAAAAACGTCTTTTTTTTCTTCGTAAATTGTGAAAAGCCCTTTTTATTTCCCGTAAAACCGTACCAGCTACCCCCCTTGCCTCCCCTCTTTAAATTAGTACAGCATGGTTTATTTTAAAGTTGCGTTTTTGAGAACATCTCTCATTGATAACTGAGTTCACTGTGATGACAATCTGTGGGTTATTTTATACATGTATTGGTCACAAATCATGAAATATTGGATCACTTGAGCTAGCCTGCACTGAAAGTTATGGTGCCTATAATAACCAAATCAAACTCAAATACATTCCTATTTATGTTTAATCACACAGGGTAAGGGTCACTATTTCAGAGAGATCTTCTGTATTCATTTCAGAATTCTCATAATAAGATTCCTCATGAATGGTACAAAATCCAAAGCCATTATTGTGTTTCCAGTGGTCAGTTTTGTACCGATCAGACAAATTTGGGATGGAACTTTAAAGATACAAAAATTCACCACTATGTAGGGTTGAAACATAGGTTCGTTTATACAGTCGCTGATCACCTCACCATCATACCTTGGCAGAATTCCCGCTATAAACCTATATTAAAGTGAGAGGGTCGTCACCAGTGCACGCACGGAAATTGAGTCCCAAGCGACGATAACAACACATATAACAACACAAAGGCTCATGGATAGATGCTTGTAAACAATGACACGCTATGACCATCTGATGCATGCGCTTAACTGTTGATGAAATCAAACACAACAGCACCTGCTCTTGTGCTAAATGGAACACAAAGTCACTTGTTTTGACGTGTTTCCATGAAAAATCAAATGCGCAATGTTATGTGTTTTTACCAGTTATGCAATGGAGTGATTTAAGATGACAAAATCTAATAGTTCAATTAATGTTTTGTATTATTAGTCTAGTTTTGTTTAGTGTAAATGTAACCATTTTAATTCCTCCTGAGGAATTTTACGTGTTTAATAAAGTATAAGTTCAATTATGAAATTGATAGATTGTATGGGGATAATATTATTGGGCAAATGTGCTAATGGAACTATGGAAGTCAATAAAATTTAGCTAACCTAAATAAGCAAATTTTCTCCTTGAAACAGATAAATGTTTACACATTAAACAAAAATTTAGAGGGAAATATTTTTATTTGCATAACCTCATGCATTACTAATAAAACAAATACTATAAACGATGTGCTTCTAAATAAGGTATATACAGTATTTGAATTTCTATTAGCGATGTCCTTCTAATAGAACAAATCGAACACCCTCTAGAAAACATGAGCTTGTGAGCATTCTGGGTGCTAAGTCAGACAAGTACTGTAGTAGACCAAATATCATATATTTGTTTGTTGTGCACTTCTGTTATAGAGATGTGCTTTTAGTATAAGACAAATACAATATTTACTAGTACTGTAAAATCTGTATTAGAAGCTGCATCCCTAATATAAGTCGCTCTTATTCATTTTGAATAATTGAATACCAAACATTTACCATTTCTCATACGTGTAGATGCTCTAATAAAAGCCGCATCCCCTATGTTGCATTGTACCATTTTAATAGACGCCGCAGCTTCTAATACAGATTTTACAGTAGTACATGATATTTATAGGGTTCTCCCTAGAGCATTTAGAGTAGAGGTTCATATTTGAGCAATAGAGTTTAATACACGAGTATAATACAGGTGATTAACATAGTTTATTGTTATTACATTATGTTCTTTTCCTGGGGAGGACACTACATGTAGATAGTGCTAACTATGTTTCCTACATTTACAGGACAGCATTCTATCAGAGCCAAACTACTACTCATCCCATCGATTAATAGGAGATTATCTCCAACGCATTTACTTAGTCGGACTGTTTGATAGTTGCGATCTGCCCGAGTTCAGTCCAGTTCATTCACAGCCGAATGGAACAGCGCCCTCAATTACTTAGTAGGGAAAAAAACATGGCTGAAAACTATTTTGGTGTTGTGCTTGTGTTGTTTTGTCGCATAATTTCGTACACCATTTTTCTTGTTTTCTTGTTGTGCTATAAATCTGTCGCAGTATTTCTTCACTCTGCCAAATAAATATCAGGGCATGTACCTCTTCGTCAAGCCAGAAATTTTGCGAAGTTACGATGGTGTCTCCTGAGACGCCATAATGGAAATGAGAGGTTACTTTAAAAAAAGACGATTAAAGGTGCGATACCAGTCCTGAATTAGGGCCGGACGCGTTTACACAGTTGGAGCCATGTCAGGGCCCAATCCTATCAGAGCTCAATCCTGAGAAATACATGTACATGGCTATTTTTGCTGGCTTGAGTTGTAGAGCTCCAATAAAATGCTGTCATACATGTACATGTATAAATACAGTAATTGACTCCTAAGATTATTATAATTGTAAGCATTAGTCCTTACCATTATTGTTTATTACCTTTACCCATCAAAAAAGATAAAAGAAGCAATATAGAACCACCCATTGATAAATATTTTCTAGTATGCACTGTTCATATTTCTTATGACTGTGTGTAAACCGTACTTTTAACCTTCATACCATGGGAAATGTGGCTTGACCAATCAAGACAAGTGTTTTATATGAAGAATACCGATATATGTGCTAAATTCATTCCCCAATTCCGGGAGGTTGGTTGTGATGTGATGTTCACACTTCTGGGAAAATGACTAATTTTCTGCTCGCCTTCCAAAAAAATGCAATATATCTGGCATGTTTTGTTCAGTAGAAATACAATTCCCCTGTTTGACTTTAAACAGGTGAAATTTACATTTGGCCACATTTGGTCAATCTGCATTGTGAAAGAATGTTTTTATAATAAATGCTCCTCTGCTTTCCATTTATTTAACTCGTTTGTGTTTGATGCTAGTTACTTCCTCCTCCAATCTGTCATTTTTATGTTACTTTAGATTAGGATCAATTGATGATATGTAAATGAATACATGTACATTGCAGATAGCATCTGTTGAGGCATTGAAAATTGTGCTTAGTGAGTGGGACGTGTCACAGACAGAGAGACTCCTTGAGAAGATAGAAAAGGTCAAAGAACAAAGAAAAGAAGATGAAAGAAAGAGAAGAGAGGCAGAGATGGAAAAGTAGGTATTCAACCCTTTGAGTGTCATTGTCAACTTTTGGCACCAGTAACAATATGATTATGTACATTCTGCACCTCCCCACATGAAATGTTGATAAAAATCGGCAAACCTTTTGATCATAACTGCAAGCAATACCTGTAACCGGCGGTATGAACAAAAATGATGATGCGATTTAGTGACAATTTTACAAAATGTGAAAATATTTTAACTGAATTTATGATGGAAAAATATTTGGTAGTCAAAGAGTGAACATGCTTCATTTGTCTCTCTGAAAAGGGTGCAGATTTATTCTTGATTATTGTTTTGTTGTATATCGTTCCAAAGTGGAAATTGGTTGGTTTTGTGTCATCATCTTTCCAGAGAGCTTTTCAGTGATTTCATTCATACTTGATATGAACATCACTGATGTTATACTGATGCTCATCATTTTGTTTGATCTACAAAATATGTTGATGGCCTGACAATCACTCACTTATTATTATTGTTTGAATTGTAGATTGGAAAACAAATTGAAAGATGCCCAGATGGAGCATGACACAAGGCAGAGAGAATTACAGAAAGCATATACAGAACTGAACAAGAGAATAACAGAACATGATAAAGTAGTGGCATCAGGATCTGATAAGTCAGATATTACATTACAGGTACATTTATATGTTATATATGGTAATCTTGTAAATGCATTCATTTTTCACTGGGTTTAATTTTATTATTTTTGTTGATAAGTAAAATTTGCTCACAATTAAAACTATGTAAACTTGTAAAATAACAATCACTGGTAAATTCGTGAACTGCCAGTAAATCATAATCGACAAATATGCTTCAGAGAAGTGAGAAGTATTGCTGTGAACTGCTGATACCATTTACCCATACTTGGTAATACAGATCGATTTGAGCAAATGTTATTTAGGATGATTATTTTCTGATATGCCATTAATGATCGACCTCGCTATTCCGATCACTGGTAGCAAGAGTGGTTGTCGCATCAGACTCATGATCGGTAGACCCAAGTTCAAATCCTACCTTAGGCTGAACATCAGAAGGGTCAACCCCTACCCTGGGTGAATGTGCCACGGACTCAATAGGAAGGCCAATTCCATTGGCCAAGATTCATTCACTAACAAATGTGACTTCAGGGGAACCTTGGTTAACGTTCGCAGGTGTTCAACCGAGCCTGGTTGACATCAGGATAGTGCATTTGAATGGGAGATGGTCGCACAGCCCTGTCATGCAGTCCAAAACATGAATATGACTTCTGTGGCAAAAATGCACTATGTTTCAGGACATACAAAAAGAAAAAGTCAGGAGAGACAACAGTGACATTCAATGTCCTGATCTGTTGCCTGACACAAAAATATTTTTATAAAAAATAAAAAAAAATGATTGACCTTGCTACTGCTCATGTACTAATTATATATAATCCTTTAATATTTTCTCTTAGGTTAACGTAAGCAGACACAATTGATAAGTGCCAGGGTTTTATACTAAAGCAATCTGCACAAGTGTCTGTTGACGTCAACCTAAGTATAAATATCGCAGGATTATATATATTCCCACAGTACATGTGAAACAGCAACAGTGTTAACAGTGAAATATATCATTGCGCTCACCTTGTATGCTAATTTTGTCGTCGCCACAGTGTTCTGTTTCACCTGAAAACCTTGCATATGCTGTATGGTGATTCTAACCGTTGTGATATTTGCTCAATTTTGCTAGGATTTTTTAAAAATTTCAACAGAGGGTCTGAATAATACACGCATGAGCTTGCTAAAATGAACCATTGTTACCACAATCTAGAGTTATCAAACCACATATAAACCCAGAAGCCAAAATAAAAGGGTTTGTATTTGGGCCTCACACATTATTCTGGCAATTTAGCTCACCATTAAAGTGTGCCACATATGGTAGAATAGAGAAATGTTTCTGTTTCAAAAGATGTTTTGTTGATTCCAATCAACTGTTAATCTATGTATTTGAAAGCATTATCTAATAAATGTTTTATCTGAGGCGAAAAACATAACCTAACTAATGTACCGTCATTCAGGTTCTGGATATGAGTTTGCATAGTAATTTATTTATTTATTTGTTTGTTTGTTTGTGTGTTTGTTTGTTTGTTTGTTTGTTTGTTTGTTTGTTTGTTTGTTTATTTATTATTTATTTATTTAGCTATGCAAGTACCTTGATCGGTGAACAGAGAAAAAAATATTAACCAATAGAAGATGAATTGTCAGCTATTGTCAATATTTTGGTCATTAACAGTGATTTCATTTCATTACAGGTGGTGCATGACGCTGAGAAAGATGTTGAGATTGCTAGAATCAATGCCCAGCAAGCACAGCAGAAATTAGAACAGATACGAGTACAGATACGAGAACAACAATCAGCTGGAGGTAGGTGCTGTGAAACATACATGAAAATACATGGAAGTTATGAAAGTGATGATGTTGTTCAAAATGGTCAAATATGCCCTTCAAAAAAGCTCTAGAACGACTGTAAAACATGTTGAAATAGCTACATGTCATTTAGAGAATTTGACTCAATGCATGAATTAATTAAATTTTAATTTTGCTAAAAGGTCATCAATCTACTTTATAGCGACATATTGAATCAGCAAAATTACAGATTATCTAAATTAGCTAAAATAACATATTTCACACTATATCATATTTGCTCTGTTAGTAACGCATGCCCTTATTAATCACAGATGTTAGTCTATGGTCAAAATAAGTTGTAGTGCAATGACCAAGTACAGTGTTGGACATTCTCTTATAACTGAGAAACAATTTGTTCAAACAAAATGTCAATTTCTTGTTTTCACAGTGTCAGGTTTTGTTATATATGATGTCAATGTCATTAAAATTACGCAATTAAATTCATATAGACTATGACAACGTAACAAAGCAGACCTATTTTACACATATAAGCCAATAAGTAAATTGTCCCGTATTTCAAAAGGTTGAAAAGAGTGAGTGTTTTTAGGTTAAAATAGTAAGCCTCATCACAGATGTTGAAATTCTCTAAAATAAAGCTGATTCAACTACACTAGTATTGGCAATATTAAAAAATCTGACCATGCTGACTACTCTCTAAAAGTATCAGTCTGCCATTTCAAAACTAGCTGGTTTTTGCTATAATTCTACTAACAAAGTCTTTCTTATTCTGATATCATATTGAATAAAACAATTTGAAATACCATGACATTCCATCTCTTGCAAAAAGTTGTTCAAAAAATAGAAAGGGTCCATTTGTGGATGCTCCTGCACCATGATACAGTCTAATTGTGGTATAAAACAAAAATAATACAGGACTGAGTTATAATAATATTTGACTTTTTCACCATAGAAAGCCAGGCTGATATTATTGGTGTTGGGTGTAACATTAAAGAACTGGATGAAGTGTTGATGCGAGATGTTGGTGCTAAAATAGCAACTGATGGCAGGTAACTTTTAGATTCTTTTTTAAATATTATGAGGCTATTTCAAGATTACCGCAAAATACACACAAAGTCAGTTTGGTAATTGTATCGCCAACCCATGTAGAACAAATTGACGCAATCCAGTACCACCTGAATGCATACTTTCTCATTTTTATTCTCATGATAAAAATGTGCACATATTTTCTGCAGTAGAATAAATATTCACTGGGTTTGATTTGAGTGGATTTGACGGCTTATTCACAGTTTGTCTGGTTGATGAATGAAACAGTACATTCTATTGTTACATTTGAATATTCACTGGATGAATATTTTAAAGATCACTTTCTAGAAAGGTTTTCTTTAATCCTGTCAAACTTTCTTTCCCTGATATGGCAAACAGAAATTAAATATAAACAGACCTGTACATTGGATTTTAATCAGACTGTATTCATCATACTTTGCACAATTCATGTTGGTTCTTACTGATTAATAAATTCTACTGATGTGCAGGCCTGTCTATAACTGTTGCAGTAATTAAACCAATACAATCATGACATCCATGGTTCTCTAAAATATTAAGAAATTTTTGGATTGCATCTCAAAAAAACAACTTGTATTTGAATACGAAATGTATGAAATTACAAGAAATGTTCTAAAATTTTGCTGAGAAAACATGGTTTTCTCACTGAGAAAAAACTTGGTCTTCTCACTGAGAAAACTTGGTCTTCTCACTGAGAAAACTTGGTCTTCTCACTGAGAAAACTTGGTCTTCTCACTGAGAAAACTTGGTCTTTTCACTGAGAAAACTTGGTCTTTTCACTGAGAAAACTTGGTCTTTTCACTGAGAAAACTTGGTCTTTTCACTGAGAAAACTTGGGCTTTTCACTGAGAAAACTTGGGCTTTTCACTGAGAAAACTTGTTCTAGCTCCTCATTTTAGAAAACTTGGTCTTCTTACTGAGAAAACTTGTTCTAGCGTCTTATCTGGGAAAAATTAGGTTTCACACTGAGAAAACTTGGGCTACATCTGAGAAATCCTTGGTTTCTCACTGAGAAAATTTTGTGAGATAATTCATAAAGGAAACACTGAAGAGTTCAATTGTATTAATGAGCATTAACTAGGATTTAGGTGTGTATTAATTAATAATTCTTTTGTCTTTGTTTTTCTAGGTGGCCTCTCATCATAGATACTTCAGGTCGAGCAGTAACATTTTTAAGATATCGTGATACAAACTACCTGAATGCATTGAATCCAAAGCACATGGACATTGACACATTAAGAAAGGCTTTACTGGGTGCTCTCAGGTTTGTTATAATTATTAATTATAATTTCTAGCATTAACAAACATTGCTATGAACAGCTGCACAACTCAGCGTACCGGTAGTCATACTGTTTATTTTACCAGGCTTGTATATTTACTGTTGGGACAATGGGATCCAGACAGAAAGGACGACAAATTGGTCAATCTTGTGTGCTGTTACTGTCCTGAGTGCACGTAACAGAATGCAGCATAATTTATTGGGGTAAAATTTAGCAAATTACAGTAGATCATCCTTGAATTGATGTTGCCTTCCATATACGCCTTTCCACTCAATGCCTAGCTACAATGCTAGTATTATTTCTTCATGTTCAGCTATAGATGTGATTGGTTGAATGGAAATGCCATCAGTATATATTTTGCATAAATCTTAGTGGTAGTGAGATAATAATACCACCGAACCTAGGCAGATATACCGAGTGGAATGTTAATACATAGATGCCAATGACATAGTGTGTGGTGTTTGCATAAATCTGAATGGGTAATGACATTTTACTAGCACCATACCTAGGCATATAATGAGTTGAATGTGACCTGGATGTCTATGATATCCCATAGTTGTGGAAATCTGCATAAATCTGAATGGGTAATGAGATATTACTAGCATAGTACCTAGGCATATACGGTAGTGACTTGAATGTCGCATCAATGTCTATGATATCCCATAGGGTGTGGTGTTTGCATAAATCTGAATGGGTAATGAGATATTACTAGCACCATACCTAGGCATATAGTGAGTGGAATGTCACATACATGTAGATGCCTATGACATCTTCATACTTTAGGAATGTTTACGTAAAACTGAATGGTAATCAAATATTACTAGTACTGTACCATACCTAGGCATATGATTAGATAATTGTCATGCCTAGGCATCAATAGAATGACATAAATGAATGGAGCGCATAAATCATGGCTTTAACTTCACAGAGGCATCAATTGCCTTGATGGCATTTAAATGTACAGATTTTCCCTACAGTATATGTAACGCTATGGTAATTTTTATAAAATGTTGTCTTGTAAATAAATGCTTTCTCACCTCTGAACTGATAAATTATAGGTGAGTAGAAGGTTAACTGGAATGTATGTTGCTAAAAACATTGCTGGAACTTAAATAAAATTTCTCAAAGTGTCACAGTCATCTTACTGCCTTGTATTGCATTATATGTATCATGTGACATAATACACATGCGGTTATCACGAGAATACCTCAAAGTATGCATGAAGACAGTACAGCTGGAGTATCGGCCGACACACAGCGGAGGTTGATGCATGGCGCACTATCTTAGTCCAAAATATTTATAACAGAATTGGCGAACTTCTTTGTGTTGAATCCGATCAAACTCTGGTGGCAGCCATGTTTGTTTTTATTATTAGATGACGCTGACAAGTGTAATCATTCCATATTTGGAATTCGCATTTCCTAATATGGTAGGATGAAAATACCCCATAAAATACCGCAAAATGCTGTAACTTATGGCGTTACGATGACAGATGTATAATAATACAGTGTATGTGTACAATGTTTTTTTTTTAATAAAATTTAACTAGGTACTGCACAACAATAGGAACTTAACCATAATATTTTTTTTTCTTAAATCTGATACGCTCCTTCTCAAGAAACATATTTATAAACTAAATCTGAGATATTAAGACAAATTAAATATACATGTATGTTTTCATTGCTAGGTATGGGAAGCCTGCTGTACTGGATATGATGGAAGTTGACATGTTTGAAACGGTTGCCATGAGAATGGATGAAATTCACAAAGGATTGATGGAGCTTATAATGAACAAGGAAATTATGAAAAATGAAAAGTAAGTTATTTTTTGTCATTAAAACAATAGATAACCTCAGTTGCATCCGGGTAGAAGTTTGATGAGTGGCAATTCATGAAGAGAAAACATGATGTTTCTGATTAGAGTACTGCTGGGATTATAACTGACTTAAAGCAGAGGGTTCATCACCTGTCTATGCATGAAAATTGAGTCCTAAGCGATGAAAAAAACACATGCTAAAATGCAAAGGCTTATGTGTAGACATTCTACGGCTGTCACAAAGCTAATGGCCCTCATTTTAGGATTGGAACTAGAAACAATGACCTATTGATTATTTCTTATTAGTTCCTGTTCGGTCAAAGCTGGCCGATTGACAGCCATCTGACTTTTTGGCCTTACTACTATATTTCCACAATTTATGTACCATTTTTATTCGTATTTGGCGCATACATCATACATATCAGTGTGTTTCATAATCAGATAAATAATGGCCGAATAACGGCTCTTTTAATTTTTGGCCATATTACTACTACACAGACCATGTGTTTTGATGTAAATAAACAATCTGTTGCATACGCTTGGAACTCAAGTTTCAAGAACACACTCGCGACAACCCCTTCTCTTTAATACGACGAGCACAAAGAGAACTTTCAAACATTTAACGGAGACTGTGTCATTTTCAATGACTTGTTCTGATACATGATACTAATTTGGGATGGTGATGCACATCCATTTTTTTTTGTACTTGATTGTGTCGAAAAATGACCACTAACATATGACATCTAACAGTGACCTCTTGCTAAGTCACAAGCCTGAAAAATCTGACTTATTGAGGGTCGTGACTTATCTATGACAGACAAATTCAGTTTATAGGGCTTTATCAAAGCAGTACCAGCCAAGAAACGTGTAAAAGGGACACCTTGAGTTGTGCCACCTACACTTTTTGATTGTCCCAGTTTGTCCCCTTTTCAATGGTTAATTAGATACTGATGCAACAAATCATTATTCATTTTCCTTCAAAACTACCACTAGCCATTCAGAGTCTGTGATGTAACCAATATTATGCTTACTGAGGTGCAGACTTAGCAAGAGGTCACTGTAATGTATTACTCTGTTAGAAACATACATGAACAATTATTCCATTTATTGTATGCTGGCTCAATATACAATTTGTAATATGACTTATTTTGACCATAGACACTCTTCTGTCATTCACATAAGTGCATATACTACAACCACAGCAAATACAGTACATATGGTTCCACTAATTGTATCTTCCTGGTCTGGTATTTTTGCATTAGCACAACCCCAGTACAATGAACCTGATCAAATGAGTAAACTTTTGAGTTGACTTATGGTCCTGTTCCAGCAATGAATTATGGGTAGTAATTTCTTATTTATTTGTCTCCCTCTCCAGGTACCTGGTGCTGACGAGAGAATCCGACGGTGACGAATACAGTAAAAATAAATTCAACCAGGCTAGGGTGGACAATTTTCGGTTTTTCATTATCACAAAACTCAAATATCCACCGAATGATCTCATTGAAAAGACTTATCCAATCACAGTTGTTGTTTCTGTGCAGTAATTTGTATAAAAAGTCAATTTGCTCGTTATTTGCTGACAAAATTTGAAGAAACACAGTCCTGTATAATGAATTGCGCCCTCTAGTGTTGAAGCTGCTGTGTTGGTCACTTGTTGTCATTGGTTATTCAACATACTGTGTTTGAGACTTTCAAACCAAATGAACTTATGTCTATGAACGGAATACTAAAGATGGAATGCTACACCCATTTATTTTTAGCGCATATGGCTGTAGTAATATTTTGTGTCAAAATCTGTCTACAATTATTCGTTTCAGTATGTGAATTTTTTGGTTCATTGTCAATCTGTTTGAAAAAAAAAAGGTAATATACTGGGTACATAAAATGTCATTTTAGCAGCAATTTCCATAAACCACAATGAAAACTCATTTGCTCGTTGAAAACCCACTAAAAATATTGCCTTTTTTAATACTAAGAGAAAAGTACCAAACAGGGCCTTGTAAGACACTATATATCTTTTTTCACCATACATGTATGTCATGGAGCAAAATTTTGTGATACTGTAAAATACTATTTTCGCTTGGAATTATTTTTCGCTATTTTTGCTGAAGGAATGATTCAGTGAAAATAAAATCCAGCGAATATAACTTTTTTCTATATTTTACATTCAACTCGTGAAAATAAATTCCATACAAAACACCCAAAAAGTCTTTTCAGCGAAAATTAATCCCAGCTAAAATAAAGTAATTTACAGTATTGAGATATTTCTATATATATCCTAAAACATGCTATTTTCACCCATTTTGTACATTGTTTTTCTCTGAACTGAGTATGGTTACTCAGTGACATGAAATATAAAAATAAGGAAAATGGCAATATTTTTTCTTCTGTGTAGCATTCTACCTTGAGTGCCATCTCTACATCATTGTAGCACTTCATCAATAGAGGGCACACCTAAATACAAAAATAGATGATTCTGAATGTTTTCAAATAATCATAGACTTAATGATTTTCTTCTGATGTCATCAATTGAACTTCACACTGCTGCATAATGTTCAAATTTACCATGACTTAATTGTCAAATTTGATTATTCCACAAACTGCTTCCAAATTATTCTAGAATATTTTTCTTACCTCAATATGAATTGACTAACTCTTTTGAGGACTAAAAGTGACAGTCACTGTGCAGTGTCCTGTTCCATATGGGTCTAATGTCACATTATACAATGTGTGTAAAATCTGTTCATTTGCACACAATTTGAACCTGTTTGACAACTGTGATGTTTTAAGAAACATTAACATTGCGATACAGACATGATGCCAATCACATTTGGGGGTAACATTTTCACCACCAGACTTTCTCGTCCAAATGTTTCTGCTATTTTTCCTTACATTCTTCTGGAAATAAACCCTAATTTTGGAGCTAATAGACACAATTTGTGTCAATTTTTAGTTTTTACTCAAAAAATGTGGCTATTTTTGTTCAATTTTCTGAAGAAAAGTGCCATCCATAAACAGGGCTATTTTGTGAATTTGTGATGGAGAGAGGAACTGGTGGTGAGAAGTTAACACACAATTACTTTTGGATTATTACCAATGTATTTCAGAATATTTTAAAGTAATTTTTATTTCATACTGTGAATATATTATCTTACATCTCCGTCCCTAAATCAATTTATTTTTAACTGGTATTTTTTCATGTTTCTTCCAGTCTGAGTACAATGTAATGTTTCTAATTTTTTTAAATAAAATATCTCAGATTATTTACAATATTTGTGGATATATTATATGTGTATATCAACAATCAGTAGGATACATTTATCTTGTACTTGACTGGTTTAATTACTTTTTGCTTATTAATTCCATTGAGATGAACTTGCTATGTTTTATTGGCTTCTAGATTAGTTGGGTTTAATTTTTGGTGACAGTAATTTCATTATTTGATATGGATTGTATGTTGTGTATACAATGCGTGTAATTTACATGGTTTAAATTCAACTTGAACATGTGCGACACACAACCACCATCTTTGAGGAAATCTATGTTCTCCCTACAGCAATTAAGTAAAAACTCTTGGATAAATAGAACTCAAACAAATAGCATAAAAATAAATTATGATTATTGTATTTTTTATTATGCAAATCAAATGGTTTAGTGTGCATTAAAAAAAATCTACATCCTGCCAAGATAATCTATAGTCAATGTACAATTTAAAGGGACATAAGCTGCAACATTAATAGCATTTGTGGTACAAAATCTAGTAGAATCATAGACCCTATGGTAGCATGTTACATTACTGGTGTGCACATGTCAACAGCATCTATGTTATTTATGTTGTGTCCTTAATTCACGAATCAACATTAAGAACTCCCTTTCTCAAATTTCAAGTAACTGCCAAGGACTTCATTATCACATCTTTGTTATGGTTTGGTGATCAATGATTGTCAATCCCATAACAAGTATTTGTAAGTCATGAAAGGCCGATATTTTTTTCGAAACCTCTGTTTGGTCTCAGACTAGTCTGAGGTTTGGTAAACGTCTCTGGTTGCAATTTTTAAACATTTTAATGGTCGCACGGAGAATGGAACTTAGGTCTCATGCCACTAATTAACCAATGGCTGCTCGTAGCCCTCAATTTAAATGCCCAGCAAGAACCAATGAAATTTTTTAAATATTATTTTTCTCAGGT